TCATTTGCCCATTGTAGGCAGTGGACACGGGTCAGCATGGGCACCCTGACCGGCCTGTGGCTACGCAGCCCTATATGCAGCAAACTGCAAAGCACTGTGTGTTCAGACACCTTTCTATCGGAACCAGCACTAACTTTTTAAGCAATATGAGTTACAGTAGCTGTTCTTTTGGTTTTGACTACATGGGTCAACCTCTGCTAACCCACGTGCATCAATGAGTCTTGGCTACCCCATGACCCTGTCACCGGTTCACCAGTTTTCCTTCCTTGCACCACTTCTGGTAGGTCTTGACCACTGCAGACCTGGAACATGGTAGGTCTTGACCACTGCAGACCTGGAACATCCCACAAGAGATGCAGTTTTGGAATTGCTCTGACCCACTTGTCTAGCCATCACAATTTGGCCCTTGTCAAAGTTGCTCAAATCCTCACGCTTGCCTATTTGTTCAGCATCCAACACATCAATTTCAAAATAAATACTAAATATTCACTTGCTGCCTAATTGTACTTGAAGGTACCATTATAACAAGATATTAAATGTTATTCACTTCACCTCTTAGTAGTCATAATGTTATGGGTGATTGGTGTATATGTCCACTTTAGCCACTACATGGTGCTATGTATGTGATCAAAAGCACCAAATCTAGAAAAACTTTTCCTAAATATGATGGGATGCAGGGATTTAAATAAGTCTACCTATTAAATAATTTATGTGCAGCACATCTTCAATTTAATGCATGTTTCTAAGGCTATAAAGTTAGCTGGGTTACTGTTAGAAGGCGGGGTAGAGGGAAGAATGCGAGAGGTGCATACAAAACCCCCGGATTAAACGCCAAGGTAACCTGACAAAATATTTTCCATGTCATATGGCCAGGCTGGTGCATACACGGGCAAAGCAAACTGTGGGTGAAGTTGGAACAATCCAATTCAGCGCTTCCACTAAAGGGATTGCTGTGGTGCTTTCTCCCTATCCCCAGCCCTCTCAAATCCCACCCGGTTATCAGCCTGACATTGGTCTCCTGTCGGAAAGCTCTTCAGAAATTTGACCTTTGGCCTTTCTCTTCCCCTCTATTCTCAATACTGGGAAATACCTATTCCCTCCTAGGCTATTTGGATCACCCTTTTACAATCCTCCGGTTGGAAGGTACCAGGCTTCACATTTTTGCAAGAACTATGACTGGCTGTCAATATTCAACATGATGTCTCCAGATTGACCCTTTCGCCTGCAATTCTGGAACGCTCTGCAGCTACTCCATCATATCTCCACGTTGTCCCGTCTCTGCGTTTTAACAGATTGCAGATAGGCTTTGAAACTGTGTTCTGAGACTGGTTCTCTTTGACATTCATTATCTCTTATTTAGTCTCTGGTAGGCATGCCAAGACCAGACTACTTCCCATCCCTTCTTAGCCCATTGGGAACAAGCCTGGCAATTAAATTTTCTCTGGCACAGGCTCAAAGGATTTATCTTTCTTTCTAAAATCTTCTATCTGCTCCAAAATGCATTAATCTAACTAAAAGATCGAATGTAATGGTACAGGACCCCATCCAAAATCCATAGATTCAGCCCATTGCTTTAGACCATTGCTGGAGGTGCCCTAAACTGGATTACTGGAGCAAAGTCAGAGATATTCCAACAATTTAACGATTACCATCTCCACTCAGATACTTTTTCCATCTTCATAATTCGATTCCTGATAGAAGTTATCATAAATCAGTTTTGAGGCACCGCTTAAACGCAGCAATGGCATGCACCTCAGCATGCTGGGAGGGAAAAACTTTCCCATTTCATCCCACCTTAGCTCAATAAAGTAGAAGATATTAGGCAAATGCATTTAAAAAAGACAAAGGCTTTTTGCCGGATTCTGACTGAGGTGTTTCTTTTCAACTCCCATTTTTTTCCCCAATTTCCACTTTTCTAGACTAACCATTTACACTTTCTAGCCTCTCTTTATTCTCTCTCTACCCACAATACACATCCTAAGTACCCACTTCTTACCTCTGCGGTTCCAACTTCTCTCCCATCTGTGGCCCTGTACCCTTACGACCCTCGCCTCGATTTACCCTCTAATCTAATGCCCTCACTGCTGTTAAAAGGGAACCTAACAACACACTAAACCAACTTCCTGCTACTTTACTTTCCCTTTCTTCCCCCTCACTAATATATTGGTAAAAATATACTTTAAGAACAGTGAAATCTTCGCTAGCTGCCTTTCCCTCTCCCACTCATAGATGGATTTAACATACATACGTATTGTATACGTGCTGACGTGTTGGCTAGTGATGTTGAGTAATTTGTATGTATTGTTCAACAAACAAGATTCTGCATTGGAGCCCATTGGGTACATATACATTACTTGCAAAAAAAAAAAAAAAAAAAATTGTGCCTGCACAATTGACTGTTCTCTAAAGTTAGATTTCAAAATGGTTCTGCTTGGCGAGCAGTATTGTTCCACAAAGAGATTTGTTATTACATAGAGTGAATTTGCAGAAAGCAACTCAGGGTCAGGGTCCTGCAATAATCACCAAAAGAATACTGCAGCCATGTTAGCAAAAAGAAAAAAAACACAAAAGAGAAAAAGTGGCAAATTGGAGCTTTACTACTCTTTCCCCTGGATGCAATATATGCTGGCTGCTACAAGACCCCAACAGCATTACCCAGCAGCTCTATGAGCTCTTTACAATCAGCAAACTTTAACACTCAATTCTCTCGTTGTTCTTTAGCAGAGCTGCCAAGTAAACACCTACACGCTGTCAGCTGGCCTCCTCCCACTGCACTTCAATTGATTCCCCTGCAAAAGATAGACATTAGGAACCAACAGACATGTATGGGAGAAGAGATCAGAAGACAGAAAGGAAGAAAGTACAGGCCAGGTGAATGAATAGGAAAATTGGGTGAGTGGGAGAAAGCGGTGACTCACAATAAATCTGTGTGAATTGACACCACTACTTTTGGAGTGCAATCTGTGTATAGCTTATGATTTAAAAAATCCAGCAAAAAAACCCATTAAGCTCAGTTTCTCAACCTATGTTCTGTAACCAAATTCAGTGATCTGGCAGCACAAGTAATGTGTCATCTGAAGTCACTTTATTTTGAGCCGACAGCTTGTGTGTGAAAATACTATAAATATTTAAATTACACAGACTCTCAAAAATTGCCAAAAGTTCAAGACCGCATACACTTTCCTGTTCACTTGTTCACCTAGTGACTTGTTATACCTCCTACCCAGATTTCCCAGCATGAGGCGTTAAGAGGTATCCCCCTCACTCCTTTGAGAGCCAGCAACCAACACTTTGCATGGCTGCTAGCTCTCAATCTCGTTACCAACAGCTTGGGTTCCCACTGGCAATTATAAAGTAATTGGAGTGTACTCAAGTGATAGAGGACATAGTAGACATGCAGGGTGTACACTTCACTGACAAAATAAACCAGCTTGAAGATCAACACTACCATCTTTAGGCTGCAGTGGGATCTGCAGTGCCATGTATTTAAGTGTTTTATTGTCATATACAATTATATTGTTAAAGCTGAAGTTAAATCTGCTTATATTTTCCCTCCCCCTGTATCAACATGCTAATTGAATGTTTAAATAAAAGTGTTCCATTTCCATTACAAAGCTTATTTTAGGGCTAGACAAACTCTCGGGAGACAGGTCGCCTATGCTCCCTAAAATTAACAGCTAGAGCCTAACTTTTGAGGTTTTCTCTAGTTGTTGTCAATGTAGTTGGCTCCTAAAAAATCCTGCTGGCTCCTGAATTCAAGATTTATTAATCCATGCCTCATTTTACTGCATTTAAAGTGACCCTTAAAGTGACATTAAACTCAGGAGTTTCATTTTAAAAATGCATTCAAAGTACCCTAACCATTAAAGGAGAACTATGAGATGAGTGATTTCCACTCACCTCATAGTTCTAGCCGACCTGCGACAATGAGACTGTCACAGGTCGGCTCAGTAGATCGAGAGGTGAGCGAACACATACCAGGTTCGCTCACCTCTCGATTTAGTCACGGCTCTCTGCCGTGACAGGGGGAGGGGCTGGATTCCCCTCTCCCCGCTCCGATCTGCCAGCGCTGACTGGAATGATAATAAAAAAAAAATAATAATCTGTGATTTGTCAGCCAACTCAATCAAAACAATATATTCCCTGTATAGAAAAAAAACTTACTGTACTCGCCCATTAACACAGCTGCTTTTAGATCAGCTGTCACTCACGCAGCTGGGCGGATCTTGACAGCGATGTTGGGATCCGCTCCGGCGTCTCAGTATACCGCGAGCTGTAGCTCGCGGTATACTGAGCTTAGGGTAACGGGAGGACGCTAGTTTGTGTCCTCCCGTTACCCTAAGGAGAACTATGGGGAAAAACACTGACCCCATAGTTCTCCTTTAACAAAAATGTAGATTATTTGTGTATTACTCGGCTGAATTTGTGCCGACACTGTCCACCCTTCTGGAGGTTGTCTACTTTCGTTTCCCACGTTCCCTGTGTGTGTTGAAAAGTAGCCACCCCTCCAAGCTTACTCCTGTGATCGACTACAATCTCACATTTAGTTTACTAATTTGTATTGTGATTGTAGTCTATCACAGGAGTGAGCTTGAGGTGGTGGCTACTTTACAATTCCAGAAGGAAGGACGGTGTGAATTCCGTGATGATTTGAAAATCTACATTTGAGTGATAAATAAGATGCATTTTTGTTAATATTTAGGGAACTTGAATGCATTTTTAAGATTTAACTCCTGATTTATCAGTAGCCCCCTTTTCACGACAGGGTCCCCCCTTAACATCAGTCTTCATTGCCCCTTCTCTATCACAGTCCCACTACCACAAAATTTGAGGCACCCCTGAGGAAGCCAGAAAGCAAATCAGGGCACATCGGAAGGCTGTTTTATATGACAAAATCAAACACTGAATTTTATGCTTAAGGTCAGCCAGAACAGCCACGGTCATGCATTAATTTCATGTTATTCACAGTATATGGAAGATCGAATCTAATGATCACTTACCATCCTGAACAGAGTTCCTGTCCTCGCTATCGCTGTCATTTACTTGAGGAATATTAACCAGAAATTGGCGATTATCCCTCAAAACAGTGAGTGTAAGTTTTCCTTTTGACTTCTCAATAAGCCGGCGAGTGTCAGCCAATGACATATTTTCACTTGCAACTCCATTGATCTATAAAAGAGAATTTAGAATTTACCAAACCTTAAAGTGACTGCAGCCCACCATTCCTCTTGCTATACCATCTAATAGGTGTGTGTGTGTTTTGTGTGTGTGTGTGTGTACTTTACATATCTTCCATTCACTTACTTAACCCCTCCTAACTTTATTTGCTGGAAGTCTTAAAAGAGAACTATAGTGTAACCTTTTTATCCCATAGTTCTCCTTAGGGTCACAGGAGGACATATACTAACGTCCTCCCGTGACCCAAACTAAGTATACAGAGGGCTATTGCCCACTATATGCTGACAGCACCGCTTGAGAGCCACCCTGCTGGCTGTTTACAGCGCGCTCTACCTATCTAGAGGCAGACCCATCTATACCTGCCCCTCCACTCAGCTATACCCATCTGTCCCTCCAGTCAGCGCTGGAGAAATCAGAGAGGGGAAGGGGGCAATCCATGCGGGGAGGGGTCACTGACAGTCACCACTCTCTGCAGGGAGATGATCAGTGAGCAAGCGACGGTATGTTTTCGCTCACTTCCCAATTAATATAGCTGACGTGTGACCGTTTCAGTGTCACACTTCTGCTCTAACTATGGGGATGAGTTTAGTTTACTCACCCCATAGTTCTCCTTTAATTTTTTTTTTCTACTGGCTGAGTGACAGGAAACAGGGAGTAATAAAGTGCTTACAACAACTTCCATACACAGCTACATCAAACTAAAACAATCCCCAATATAACACAAAGCCTCATATGTAAAGCTGTATAGCCGCACCTAAAGTGCTGGTAAATGTCCAGAATTACATTTTATGATTAATCCATGTTCAATTTAACTTTATTTTGATGAGCATATCAGCTAACTGGTTTTAGTATTGGGGAACAATGCATGACCCTCTTAATAAAACAGATAAGTGAAATTATCAACGGTACTCTTTACCATATTACATATAAAAATGGATGACGAAACGTCCTGTTTTATTGTTATTAGGAATTCTGCTACTGTTTCCTGTATCAGGTCCAGAGAACAGAGCCCATATACAAGTGATATATAATTGGACCTATTGTCAGATAGGTTTTTTTCCATGTTAAGTGCATGCAGTTTAAGTAATGTTGAAGTGTAGCACTAACAATATTGCCTGTCAATGATAACAATACACCTGGAGAGAAGGTAATAGGAGGAGAGAACTAGCTAAAGCTTGCCATACATCTGGAGATGCCTATATGGTAGCGCGAGGGATTACACTTATGTCTCATGTTCATAAGGCTGGGCACACACCTTGCAACTTTTGTCTTGCGATGGTTGTAAGGTAATTAAAAAAACGTACGATCTGCCCATCTTTGACAGGCAGATCGTACTTGCGATCATCGCAAGCCCGCCCCGCTGAGGGGCGGGCTTCCGATGACCGCAATGCTGAACGGGCAGTGTGTGCTTGCGCACACCGGCCCGTGCGGCAATTATCTTACGAGCATGCCACAAACCAGCCGTACGATTCTCAAACATGTTCCTAAAACAAAAGTCGTGCGACCGTACATCGCAAGGTGTGTGGGCACCTGAAGGAAGGGTGGTGGATTTACAAAATGAAAAGCCTGACACCAGGAGGATTGAATGTGGATTTTGATCTCAATTGTTTCATTAATGACAACTGAACAGAGGGATAAGGTTTTATTTGGAGATTATGGATAAGGAATGGTTAAATTTGGATATTATAATATGGGACATTTTATCAGGTTGTTTTATTTATAAAGAAAGAGTTTCTATTTCTGGGATTAAATATTACTTATCTCTAATATGGGGGTTTGATGTAGTAATGTAGTATTTACTGTAGGTAGATTTAGAGGTCAGTATCAGTATTCACGCAGAGCTGCTTCATTTTTTTAATCTTTTATTATGTTGGATTTTAGGACATTCTAACCCATTTTTGTGGTAGGCGACTCTAGGTTGTGTTCTTATTGCTATAATTGGAATATATAAAAGATGTACTTTTGGTGATTTAAGAGTTAATACACTATATCCATGGAATGGTAATAGTTTAACCAGATTAAGATTCATTTGATGAGGACTATAACTTAGGACTTTTATATTTTAGTTTTGTATGTTTGTTTAAAACTTCAGAAGTTATTCTGTTTGTATGTAATTTATGCACTTTTAAATGGATGATTAAATGCGCACAATTGTTTATGGAGTTGTTCATAGCGTGCGGGAGTGATTTAAATGATTGGGTCGTGTCACTGACTCCTAGGCCCTGAAGAAGTCCAGAGTGATGCAACGTACGTCGGGCAGGGTCTTGTGACGCGAGACGGAGCAGAGGAGTGAACGTGTATTGGGAGTGTGAAGCTCAATCCACTGTTGATGGTTTTAATATGTGTTGGCCAGCAAATTACTGCAAATGTGAGTAGTATTTTAATAAATTGAGTATTTTAAGCCAGTCACTATGCACTACAGAGTATATCTTCTCTCCTATACATGCCAGGATTGGATAAGCAGTACATATTTTATAACGGAGGATGGGTGACATACCCATGATTAACAGGGAGCTACTTATGAGCTATTAATAAATCAAGAAGGAAGGGGAGATCATTCCTTGTGAAACTGCAGTATTCAGGTTGTGGGAAAGATATTCAATATCTAAGTTCGGAGTTGTCTTTCTTTGACACGTGGTGATTTAGTTTAGAATGAAGACACATGTTTATAAACTGAGTAAAGTTGTTCACTTGGAAGCACTACAAACGGACTTAATTGTGTGGAATAGACAGCATCACATATTTTTCACTTAAATTGGGGTAACAGTGGAGTTGCATTGTATAAGAATATTTACTTTTTTTGTTTTTGTGTTGCATAAGATCACTTACTATATTTGTTTTTTGTGTTGATTGTTCTATTTAGGCATTTTTGTAGTGCAACAATTGTCAATTAATATTATTGCAAATAAGGAAGTGACTTGCACTATTAGTGGCTCAGGATTTGTATATTTAATTCTTGTACTTTATTAATAACAATACACCTGCCAATGCCTTTGTCTGTTTCTCTTTCAAGAAGAACAGAGCCATCAGTGTTCTGACACTTTCCAAGGTCAACATTTACTGACCTTTACCTCAAATGAGATGTCGACTTATCGATGCCATAATCATGTGGATCAGGGGTTTCAACCTCAATTCACTTTGGGGCCACTGAACAAAATTTAATTCATCAAAACAAAATAACTTTATACGGTACCAGTTCCACAGGTTTGAATTTTAATCATAGAGGACCAACAAATTCACACACACACACCTTCTTAAAATAAAAGAGCCCCCTCACCTGCTTACATTTTGTGCAGGGAGGGGGCACATTCCCTGGTGGTCCAGTGGGGATTAGTACGGTCTGCACCTTTGGCAGACCTTACTAATCCTTCCTTTTGGCCAGCAACCCAGATGCAGACCGTGCAGCTGCTCCCCAAAGTCAGGTACACAGTGCGTTTTCAACTGGCTGCGGGCCACATGGTACCAGTTCGTGGGCCAAATTCTGCCTAAATACTGTCTGAGTCAGTGACTGATGATTAAATTGAAGATCAACATGGCAGCCAGACAAATAGCGTTTTCAGAAGAAGGTAAGCAGTGGCAATCTACCTTTTTCTCTAATGACAGATTTTTTTGCAACAGGATTGTACTGACTATCGGGGTGTGAGCTAGTTAGGTCTTTATCTGGTCAAACTATGACAGAAATGATCACCAAGTAGTGGTGAGTAAGAAAATACCTTCAGAATGAGATCTTCCTAGATCGTTTTTGAATACCTTAAGAATGAGATCTCCCTCCTGTAGTGATTTTTCCTGAGCAGCCAGCCCTGTGTCTGTGATATGTTTAATGAAGATTTGACTACCAAGCTTCAAACCATATTCTGCAAAATACATAACAGAAGAGTAAACAATACATTGAGGCAAAGAGGCAAAAACAGTCAACTGCACAAAGTTTTGATTTTGGGGTAGTTACAGTTTTATGTAACACAGCTAAAGAAAGACCAAGTAAGGGTCTTTCTTTAGCTGTGTTACATAAAAGCTAAATACGCTAAAGACAGACCCAGTGCAGCATAGAAAAATATACAGAGTGTATAAGAAATCCTGTGTCAGTGAAGTGCAACATACCTTGGGATTCTGTCTGTTTCACTAATATGGTCTTAACAGGTTTAGAGGGTACATCCTGAACAGGCAGTCGCTTGAAACCAGACACAAGTTCAAGCCCACTATAGGGCTGTTCCACAATATCACTTCCCAAGTCTGTTCTTGAATAGTCTCCAGCATCACTTCCAGAGTACCCCCTGCCACTACCAGTTTCTCTCCATCTGTTTGAGCCAACGGACTCCCTGTCAGAGCTTTGTTTCTTCTTGTTGCCAGCCCTCTTCCTTGAATAATTTCCTGCTCCACTTCCAACACCTTTCAACCTGTGCTGTCTTGAGTGGTAAGAGGAACGATGAGTAGATCCCCCTGAGCTACGTCCACTGGAAGAATCCCCTTCATAGCCTCTTGCTGTATCCTCATGTGGCTCCCTGCTGAAACTTCCATATCTCTCTCTCCAGGCTACAGAAGAATCTGCTTCTTCTCTTCCTTCTTTGTCAAGAGAGTTTGAATACATAAGCTCTGATGTGTGTGATGCCCTAGAGCCGTGAGAAAGGCCTGTGGAAACGGGGGGTACAGAGTTGCTCCCAGGAAGTTGGATTTTTCGAGGACGTTTCACAGTCTATGGTAGGAATGTGAAGGTTAGAATGGTTTACTTTAACAAAATTATTCTTAATTATTTCATTGCTTTTATTTGTACCAAGTTATAAATCTCAAAAATCTCTCAAAAACCCCACTACATGTAAATTTGATTTGCATTTTGCTAAAACAAGAAAATGATCCATTCTCAAACATTGGGGTACTTTCCAGTCATACTCAAAAATCAGCACAGAAATGCATATAGAAGGATGCACATTGCCTCCACGGGACTTTGTATTTCAAGCAAGACATTGTCAAGTGACAGCATCTCTGCAAGGGGAATCCCTTGACCCTGCAAGGTGACAGTTTCTCTTTAATGTGAAACTGTGAAGACAGAAAGATAGGAGCTGACTTGCAAATAACTCGTCACGTAGAGTGTACGTGACGAGTCATTTGGTCCCTTTGTGGCTGGACGTACAGTGTACGTCTCCCGTCACGAAGGGGTTAAAGGGCCAGGCTTTCTGGCTGTCATCCTTATCTTGGCTATACTACCCACTGAGTAGCTAGAAAAAAATTGATCTATCAACTATACTTGCCCTAGATCAATGACCAAGTAATGAAGCCACAATCAGGATTGGAGACCAGGTGAGATAGGAAAACTATGGTGAAGGGAAATAAGATGCTGACATTTTGCTTTGGGACAAATCCTTAGACCAGGAATGACATTAGTAACTAAACAACTTCTCCAGTAAATAATTATCCCTGCCTTAAAAGTAGACAATCCAAAAGCACCATGACTGATATCTACTGAACTATTTCCAGATCCTCTCGGACACTAACATACAGGGTAACTTATATTGCAGAGAAGTTCAGAAACTTGGGGTAAGCTGAAACCTTTGAAGTGCACAGTTGCTTTTGAAGATAGATTGTAGAGATCAGCCGACTCATTCCATGTGTGATTGATATCTCAATTGTTCCAAGGGAGACAACTGCACTGAGCCACTGGGAGCTGCCTAAACTCTGCAACAATAACACAATAAGCCCATACTAAACATATACTATAATATACTTTACCTTTATACATAATGGTCTGATTTTAACCTTTTTTTGGCCATAGTTCTCTTTATGGTCACAGGAAGGCATTTACCAATGTCCTCCTGTGACCCAAAACTCAACATATAGTGGGCTATTGCCCTCTATATGCTGACAGCACAGAGCAGAACAGCACTGCAGCTGGGAAGGATCGCAACAATAGTGTTGGTATTCACCCTGCTACCTGATTGACATCTGTGCCTATCATCTTCCTATCTGTTCGTCCAGTCAGCACTGGAGGAACGCAGAGGGGAATCAGACAGACACTACTTTCTGCAGAGAGAAGATTGTGAACTCAGTGATCAGAGGTATGTGATTGTTCAGTTCTCGATCTATAGAGCCGACGTGTGACCGCTGCAGTCACACATCGGCTCTAACTATTGGGATGGGTTTATTTGTCATCCCATAGCTCTCCTTGAAAAAGTGTTTGAATTAAAGGCCCACCAAACAGTTAATAATTGTGAACATTTTATTACAGGCTAAAAACAGAATATCATTTTTTAAAAACTGAGTTTTCAAGTCAGAATATCTTTTGACACATGCAAAAATAATTGCTTACCACATTGGCAGTTTTCAAACATGACTTCAGAGTGTGAATTGCAAATGATGAGGTCACATTCTCCATTGAAACCCCATTCACCATTACAATGTGATCCCTTGTCCTGAAGAATCAATAATATATGAGCAAAAATAAAACAAATTTACTTTAAAAAGATAATCAATAACCACAATGAAATTATGGGGAGAATAGTCAAACTTTTTTGCTTACTGTAATCTATTATCAGCAGGTCCCCCAGGAACAATGTCTGAAACAATGATTGACTGATCACCATCTTTGCTACTTGGGCGGTCTCTGCCTCCAGCGATAGCAATACCAAAGCCTCTTCGAGGGTCCTGCAGGTCATTTTAATACATGGAAGAAGAGAATGTAAAGTTGGTCTGTACCAAGTACCCTGTTCAGAATGTTGTGTCATTCAAATCAATCTTTGTAAACATCTGGGAAACATAAGATAGCAAAATGTACTAGCATACTAGAGAACCTACAGTAAGCATGCATGGGTCCAGCACAGTCTGCAGCATGTTAAAATATCAGACATACCCTTTGTAATGTGCTGTACCATGACATCATCTTGAGAAAATGTTATTTGTCTCTCTCTGGAGTCTATACCCATTTTAATACAAGAAAGTATTTTGCTTGCTTTAGAAACTGCAGCTTGACATTGCATGCTATTATTCAGTCTATGATCTACCAGAACACCCAGATCTTTCTCCATCATTGACTCCCCCAAACATACTCCCCCCTAGAGTGTATGACACATGCATGTTTTTGTGATACGTGAAGATGTGTAGCGCTAGGTCTATGTGTATCTAGAGACTGGTTTTCAAACATCAACTTTCAAAACACCTACACCACTGAAATTAGCCCCCAAAGCACCTGGGCTCTTCAGTATGTATACTGAGGAGAAGAAAGAGTTTAGTACTTCGGCCCTCTCCTTGTCATTTATGACTAAATTCCCTCTTTTGTCCTTAATTGAGCCTATCTGCTCCTTTCTTACCTTTTTACTGTTTATATATATATTGGTAAAAATGTTTATTTATTTTTTTACTATCTATGGCAATATGTATTTCGCACTCTATTTTAGCCGTCCGTATTGCTAGTTTGTATCTTTTATTGCTTTCTTTATAGTTAGTGATCATAAACATATATATTACCCTTTGATAGGGAGTTGTGACCATTAATTGAACCGAAGTGAAAAACCTTCTTGATTAGTAACACATGAAGTCATCCTAAGGTGAAAATCATTTCCAAATATTAAACAATGCAGTGATAATAGTACTCTACCAAAACAAGGCAAATGGGGAAAAAACACACAAAAAGTGGACACTTCATATATTAAGTGTTTCATAGATCTGTTATTTCTGTTCCAAAAACAGATTCTCTTGACGCGTTTCATCGAAAAAGACTTACTTTTTGAAGTTTTTTTCGATGAAACGCGCCAAGGGAATCAACTGGTGTTCATAAACATAATATATATGTTTATGATCACTAACCTAGATTAGTGAAGAGCCCAGGTGCTTTGGGGGCTAATTTCAGTGGAGTAGGTGTTTTGGAAATTGATGTGTTTGAAAACCAGTCTTTGATACACATAGACCTAGAGCTACACATCTTCAGGTATCACATCAAAGGTTAATATAACCAAGGGGGGCGTGGCCGGGATGTGAGGCAGAGCGGACGTGTCTGAGGGAGCTCCGCCGCTATACTGAGCTGTATCCTGTGTAAATCCTGGCGATCCGGCTCCTGACTTACATACCTGATCTCCGGTGGATGCCCGGTGCGGGGGGATATGTCCTCTAGGTCCGGTAAGCGTGGCAATACTCCGAAACAAGGTTGGAGACGATCCCTTCGTGCGGCCTTGTGTCCCGTCGCCGCCATCTTGCCCTCCTCCTCCACTGCCTGTGAGTGCACACACTGGATCCTGTGTATGGAGGGTGCAGCTGCAGGAATGGCTCTGGCCCCTCCAGATCAGCCTGTCTCCCCATCGACAGCAGGTAAGGAAAGGGCTGAGACAAAATCCATGCTGGATGCCATTGAGGGCTGCAAAAGCGCTCTCACGGCCAAGATTGACCACTTGGCAGTGGAATGTACATTGATCAGGCATGATCTGGACAAAATTAGGGGCCGGTTGTCTCAGGCCGAGACACAGGTCTCTGGGGTGGAAGACTCAGTCCAGGACCATACTACTGCTATACAAGACCTGCAGCGTACAGCCTTCTCAACTACCGGGACAAGGTGTTGGCGGCCGCTAGGACCTACCCAGACCTCCAGCACGAAAATGCTTCGGTCCGCCTGTTTTCTGACTTCTCGGCGGAGATTCAGAAGCGGAGGAAGACCTTTGTGGAGGTGAGACGCCGTCTCAGGGAAAAGGGCATCCAGTACAACATGCTGTACCCGAGTAGACTTCGGGTTCCCCATGCGGGCACGGTCCACATGTTTGACTCACCTGGATCCGCGGCTGAGTGGTTGGACGCGCTGGGGTAAGCAATTCCTGGCTGCTGATGCCTGGTGCGTCCTCTCCTGCCTAACCCTTCTGGATTTATTATGTGAAAAGACCATCTGGATACCGGATCAGCATGCTATTTTCCGCTCCCCCACTATTTGCCTGGCAGTTGAGCCTACTGTGGGGTGGACAGAGGCTGACTACCAGAGGCCTAAAGCTCCTTGAAAATCCGTGTGGAATGTGCCTCCTGTTGGCCTTCGGGTCTCAAGTTTAACCTTGTTTGGCTCCGGTTATGCCTTTTCCTTCTTTATTATTTTCTCCACTCATACTGGACGGAGGCTGCATTGCCCGACTGGGGCTGGATATCAGCTTCGAAGACTGCAAGGCTTAGGGGAGGGGGTACGCCTGGTCCCTCCTATATTAAGTACAACACACTGGACCTCGAGGTGTCTTCTCTGATCCTTAACAAGGGATTTTCCTACTGGGTGGCGGCGGCAGCACGCTCCCTCAACTCCTGGACACCTACGATTTTTTGAATTTTTTTTTCTTTTGCTTTTTGGCTTACTTTTAGCAGCTGCTGAGCTCTCGTTCATGACCCTAGGGTACTCCCCTTAGTGTAGGTGGAGTATCACTGACTGTTTTTTTGGGGGGTTTTTGGTCTGAAACTTCTCGGGACAATGTTGTTGTTTTGGTTATTGTGTTTCCCAGGGAAGAGGTGTTCTATGGTTGTTGTGGGATCCTGGGGGGTTGTGTGTCGCCCTGCACCTCGCTTACACCTGGTGCCTACCCGCTTGTATTGACAGGTATTATGGGTTTGGATGACATTAAAGTATTATCCTGGAATGTACGGGGTCTCAATAACAAATTTAAGAGATCCATGGTGCGTAACTATTTGAAGCAACTTACCGCGCATATTATCATGCTACAGGAGACTCATTTAGATGGTAATAAGGTATTGGCCCTGAGACGCCCCTGGATACAGAAGATGGTGCATACCACTTATTCCACGTATTCCCGGGGGGGCTTAGTGCTCATTAATAAATCCCTTCCTTGCACTGTTTTGCATACTGTCACAGACCCAGGTGGAAGGTTCGCTATTGTGGTACTTGATATCCAAGCTACACGGATGGCGGTGGTCAGTGTTTATCTGTCCCCACCGTTCAATGTACAGGTTTTATATACGATCCTGGAGAAACTTGCTCCCTACCTTCCGCTGCCGGTTCTCATCTCCGGGGATTTTAACAATATCCTTAACTCCGCTCTGGACTCCTCTAACCCGGCTAGGCCTACGGGCACTGAATTACTATCCTGGGCCAAAACGGCCATGGTGGAGGAGGTGTGGAGGTGGAAGCACCCTGGCACCAGGGCTTATTCTCATTTATCCTATGTTCATGGCTCCTCGGCCCGGATAGACATGGCGTTTGGCAACCAGACCATGTTGGGAATGGTGTCGGGGGCTACCTACTTACCTGGTGGCCTGTCGGACCATGTCCCACTGTCTATCACTTTTTCAGTGCCCAGGGGCAGGAAGTCAGGGGGCTGGAGACTATCGCCTGAGTGGTTGGGGGAGGAGGGAGTGGCAGCGAGGGTGTCTCCGGCAATGCTGACCTATTGGCATGAAAATGAGGGAACTGCGTCGGCACCAATGGTGTGGGATGCTTTTAAAGCTACAACTAGGGGGGAGTATATCTCTAGCATTAAGGCAGCTCGCAGGGAGCAAGGTGCCACCCTTACATTGCTCCAAGACAAGGAGGCTAATTGTGCGGCGGCTTACGCCGACTCCCCTGGTGAGTCCACGGTGGCTGCCCTTAAGCAGGCGCGGCGTTCCATCAACTTGCACCATGTGGGACTGACGCAGTGCTCCTGGCGGCTGTCAAAGGAAAATCTGTTCGAGAAAGGAGACAAGAACGGTAAACTCTTGGCAATGTTGGTAGCGGAACAGAGGTCACAAACTAACATTCCTGCAATACTCACTGCCACAGGGGTGAGGTTGACAGACCCCCCCTCTGGTTCTGCAGGAGTTTCATGCATACTATAAAGAGCTTTATTCGCACATTCCTGAGTATGACCTGGGTGCCTTGCAGGACCTGTTGGGTGGGCTTGCTATCCCTCAGTTAGCTGATGCAGACCAAACATTCCTGGAAAGACCTATTACCCTGCAGGGGTACAGTTGGCAATAGCCTCATTCCCTAACGGCAAGTCCCCTGGGCCCGATGGCTTTCCGGCTGAGTGGTATAAAAAAATATGTGGATTCTGTTGGACCAAGGCTCAGGGACCTATATATTGATTGTCTGGAGATGGGGGTTCTGCCCGACTCCTTCAAAGACGCCCATGTGGTGTTGCTGCCGACGCCGGGGGAAGGACCCTCTCCTATGCTCCTCGTACAGACCCATTGCTTTGCTCAATATGGATCTAAAAATTCTAACCAAGGTCCTGGCGACACGCCTTTCTAGAGTTCTGGGGTCTCTGGTAAATATTGACCAAACGGGGTTTATACCAGGCAAGTCTACGGATACCAATTTGCGCAGACTGTTCACCAATATTCAGCTAACTCATGACCATGTGGGCTCTAGGGCTTTGGCCTCACTAGATGTGGCCAAGACTTTCGACTCTGTGGATTGGGGGTACATGTGGGAAGTACTGAGATTAATGGGCTTTGGCCCAGAGTTTCGGAGGTGGATCAGTATCCTCTACAGCGCCCCTAGGGCAGTTCTTAAGATTGGATCTCTCCTGTCTGAGGCTTTTGTGATTGAGCGGGGCACTCGCCAGGGATGCCCTCTGTCTCCAAGCTTGTTTGCACTGGTGATGGAGCCCTTGGCGATTGCTCTCCGCTCCTCACGGGAGATCTGCGGCCTTAAAATAGGGGGTATAGAGGAAAGACTGGCGCTCTATGCA